CTTAGAAATAATCTACTGTGTGATGGTGACATCAACACCCATCAAAGTTGACCTAATTTCCACTTCTTCAAACTCCTTCAGACTCATTTCCTTTCTACTTTTCCCTATCAAAGAGTTGTCTTGTAGCACCTTCTGATTTTCTTCCATAGAAGCAACAAGCTTATCATATACTTTAGCTCTTACCCAGAAGTCTCTGACCAGATGGGGGTAAGTTAGACCATTCGGCATATCAAAGAATGAAGACCATTCTTGCACTCTGAAGTAACTCCAGAGAGAGTCACCATTCAGATTGAAGGAATCAAAATCCACAATCTGCTCCACTATGAGCTCCAGATCCTCCTTCTTGATAACCATGATTATGGGCTTGATGTGCAAGCTTTTACCAGATTCAACATTCATGGGTGCTTGCTGAGAAGACGACGACGCCATTGCAAAGGGGGTTTTAGGGTTTCTTTTGAAATGGGTAGTTTTAAAAGAAAGTATGAGAACAAAAAGTATGGGAAGAGACATAGAAAGAGATGTGTGAGTCTGATTAAGTAGCATGTTTTGAGTGAAAAAGAATTTTTGAACAAAACAAAACTTAATGACAAAGGAGGCAGAACGTACAACATTTAAGAGAAATCATCATAATCTGAAGGGTTTTTACCCAACAGTTACAAGAAGACGTTTCAGATTTATGACATGTATGTGGGCAGGTTCCAGAAGCAATTGAAAAGGTTTTCCACTTGTGTGTTTATCATATGCCATTATTCTTATTCAGAGCTTCAGAGGCTGGGATGCATAAGAGGCTACTATACATCATAAGATAGTTCAGAGCTTCTGATCACAGTGGCTTCTGATCATCATCAGACTCTGATTCTTCATTCAGAAGTTTCACACCTAAAAAAAAGAATATGACACTCACAAAATGAAATCGCACGCTCATGGGAAGGACTGACAGAGTCGCCACCGAACTTTATTTATTCCTAAAAAAGGAAAGGGAAAATATCGATAAAACCCCTAAAAACGATAATGATACCAAATAAGAATTCAGGAGTCGATTACGTAAGGGGAAGGTATTAACATCCCTCACGTCTGTTGTATTCAATGGGAACCATTTGGTTAGTTATGAGCATTATTGTTAGCTTTAAAATGTTAGCTTTCTCGAATTATTTAAAAGGAAACAAGAATAGGACTAAAAGATGAGTTTCTTTATTAAGGTGCCTAATGAGACTTTGAATCTCACTCCTACGTATTTTTGGGTGTGATGGAAAATTCAAGGCTACGTAGTTATGGGTAGAAAATGTTTGTTTATGGTCAATTTTAGTGAAAGCTATTTTTTCACAATCGACGGAAAAACACTGCTTACTCAAAATAGTTTAGAGGAGTGGGCTTTTACATCACATTAATGGATTTCTACATATCAATATTCACGGGAAAACGTCACTTATCTCAACTCACACATATGTGGATGGAGCATTGTCTTACACCGTCTCGAGACAAAATATCATTCGTTTATGAAAAGGGTTTGAATATCGCGCGACGGCGAGAAAAGATTTTGATGTGTTGAAAGTCTTTTCGGGTTGGAAGATGAGGATTTATGCTTGCAAGCTCTAACAACTTAGGTCTAATACTCGGGACCATGACTGGACCTTTCACCCAGATAGTCTTTTTCTTCCAATTTTGTTATGGAAGAATTTGAATATTTACAAGTATTTTTAAGGGAAGACGGACACTTATGGCTTGCAAGCTCTTACAACTTGGGCCTAGTATTCGAGACTATGACTGGACCTTACACCTAGGTAGTCTTTTTCTTCCAATTTATTGTGAAAGAGAGACACATTTGAATTTATAGTGAAAAAAAGTATTTATAACTTGCAAGTTCTTATAACTTGGATTTAACACTCGGGACTATGATTGGACCTTTCACCCAGGTAGTCTTTATCTTTCAATTTTGAAATGATCAAAGTTGTTTATTGTCCTTTTTGAATTTTGTTTTGAAAAGGGCTTGACGTTGGATCAAGCGTGTTTATTTGAGATGGGAATTATGAAAATAGTTTGATGGTTTTGAAATGATTTTGAATTGATGGTGAAAATGGTTGAAGGATGAATGAGAGATACAAATCTTAATGCAAAGGGTTCAAGTTGGATCACAAGGGGTGCGAATTTAAGCGTAGTGAGGTGACTCTGGAACAAGGCATAATTAAATGACACAAGGATCAAATAGAATATATACAAGCATTTAACACGATAAAAGGAGAGCATTCACAATATTTACAACACACATCCATCATAAATGAATCGAAAAATAAAATGAAATGAAAATGTGCATGAATTGAAATCATGACACAAAGATGCAGATCAATGTCGTATACGCGAAGATATGCAAAGATAACATAAGATATTAAGATTCGATTTAAATATAAAAACGTTGGAATGTTGTATATTAACGTAAATCGAATGGCAAATTGCCGCATAAACGGTCATCACAAATAAATTCGAGAAGCAATAAAATATAGCATCTTGAAAGCAAAAGTTGCAAGCCGAAATGTGAATTAGTAAGAAGCACGAGTACAAATTGTCACTATGCTAAACCATCAGACGCGCCTACAAAGTCAAAACGCAACAACAACCACTAAAAAAGTCGCACGTAACCGATAAAAACAACCATTAACTTGCTATGCTCAACACGATCATCGCAAGACAGACCGAAACCATGTGAATGCCAAACTCAACAAAATGAAACAAAAAGCCAAATATTAAAATTAACGCGTGTTCGAATTGCAGTAAAGCAGCAAGAAGCAAAAATTTAGTTTTGGAAGGGTTCCCTCTGGGATTTATATCATCTCCACAGGGATTGATGCGGGGGAAAGAACTTCGTTCAACGGTCTCTACATTTCTATGCTTGTTGTTACAAAATGGTTGAAATATTCAAGGTACAATAGATAAAAGCGGAAAATATAAAGACGAAAAATATAAAGTAAAGACTTAAAATATAAACGGAGCCTTGTTAGGATTGGATCCCATTAATTGATAACACGTGCATTCTTCTAACCAATTAAACACAAATCAATCAATCGTTTGATATTCTTAGTATCACCTACAACAGAGGTTATGTCTAACACAACATCGAGAGAACAACCATATTGTCTCATTGGTGATGTCTCACGCAACTCAACAACACAGAGCATTAAGAACTGATACTCAAGCAAATGTTAAGCTTGAATATATGTCTAGAGTCTAGAACCTAATAGGTAATCATCCTAGATCGAGATCTGAAGAGTATATTTCTATAGCGGTTCAAATCAAACATAAACAGGTAAACAAATATGACATCCATATTAGTTTCATGATTGATTCATATAAAATGTCATGATCATAATATGTACATACGCTTAACCCTTTTTACATGCATTCAACTAATTTGCCAAATGCAAGTGAACATGGTCCTTCATCAATATTATCACACATCCTCACAATACCGTATTGATCCTACTCACGCTACTCATGCTACTAATCAACACAATACAATAGAAGATACAAGTGAATATCAACTTATAAGACTATGTCAAAAGTTTTCTCATTGATAGATGAATATCTAAGATCTAAGATTTGAAAAAGGTTTTGTCAAGACCCACAAATAAGAAATCAAAGGAAACATATATATTGATCAAAACTAGTTCACAATACATAGATATCAAGAAGTAGCCTCTTTTTTTGGGCTTAGAGAACAAATTTGGGCCTCCTCCTGTAGGGTCCATATTAAAAGTTGGCAAGCCGGGCCCAAGCTTCAATACACCCTTTTCTGCCTCCAAGTTCTTTATCATATTCTCTCTATGATTTGTACTGCTAATAGGCCATACCATCTCATTTTTGATACTATCATTCACCTCCCACCCTCTCCTGTTATCATTATCTTGCAGATCATGCTTGTCGTTTACACTCCTTCCAACCATACACTTTTTATTTTCCTTGCACATAGATGTAGACACGTTTCCTTTACTTGACAACTTTTCCTTACTTCTTTCACCCTCACGCCACCCTAATTCATTTTGCTCCATACCTATAGTGTATAGTTTATCCTTTTTCCTGTCATCATTGCTTTTCTTTGTGACTGTTGGGTTTTCGTCTGCAATTTTCTCCGCCTTTTCTATGGAATCCCCCAATCGACCTCGTCGTCTTTATTGTCTGAGCTAGTGTCTTCAGACGAACTCTATTTTTTCTTTCGTTTTAGAGGTTCAGTCCTCAAGGGCCCATGGTTATCTTCACTCATTTTAATTCTGTAAATCCTTATATTCACCTAACATTGAAGATCTCATTTAGATTAATGGAAAATTTTGTTCTTATAAAAAATCTAGCGACGTCCATCCTATTCAAGTTTTCAGTTTCGTCATCAGAACAAATGTAAGTACCCATTCTTCCTGCTAGAAATCTGAAAAATTACGGACACCATGCGTGGCAAGGCAGACCATAACAGCGCATCCAGGTGAGTCTCTCATTGTCCACGTCATCAGGCGACCACGGATGCACCTCAGGGAACCAACGGGATACCCAACTTTCTTCCTCCTTGATCCACTTTTTAATATCCCCTTCAATCTATTTTTCCAAAAGACATAAATTTGCTCATATTGGTGTTGCTTTTATGTGGAAGAAACCTTCAACTAGCATCGCGTCTTGGATATTATAAGTCGAACATGCTTCTTCGACAATATCGACGCATGCCTTCTCAAATCTTATCATTTCTTCCTTATCAATCTTAAATTGTAAGTGTGCAAAAGTAGGTTTTATGTCGAGAAAGTATTTGTCTAAGTTCCCAGGTTTGTCTGGTTTATTCCACTTGTTTCTATCTGCAAAGTTATATTTCCTTCCTCTTGTATGACTCGCACTGCTTGGGAAAAAGAGATGTTTGGTCGAATGATTTGTCCAAGTTTTTTATTGTTATCTTTAAACCTTCCCAAGTGTGGGTTTGTTTTGTGTAACTGTTGTAATCTTTCTCCATTTTGATTTCGCACGTCTGTTTTTTAGAATTTAGGTACATTGGTGTATAACTTTCTCCCTTTTATCATGACACTGTCGAGTTTGATAGCCATAAGTTTCTCATCATCCACATTTTTTAATCTAACAAATTTGTATCGCTTCCCACGTTTGTCGCGTTTTGGAGGGATAACCACCTCCAACACCCGACCATATTCTTTGAAAATGTCGAACATCTCTTTGGCTTCGAAACCGTCTGGAAACTCAGTGAAGAAGAAAGAGGTCGCTCTATCTTCGACCCCTATAGATACTTTGTGTCCTCTTGTTGTCCAGATTGACCTTCTAGATTGCTTTTCTCCCCTGTTCCTACCCCTACGGACCTCCTCCCAATTTTCATGTATACCCATCCCATAACTCTGACCACTAAAACTTGAAGAAGTTTTTTTGGAAAACTATTGTGCTATAAACTAGACAAAAAAGAAAAAGGTCAAATCCACCCCAGGGAAGGAAAGTCCTTAGTCCTAAGATTAGGACTTTAAACCAAACCCCCGAAACTAACTCATCTTCTCCAAAAAAAAATTTGTCATAATTTCTATAGCACAGATAAAAAAATCTTCCTTTTTTATTTAATTTACATTTAATCTTTGCTTAATGATTTTAATGATTTTACTTTCATTTCTTTATCATCATCAAAATTAAAATAGACCACTCGTAATGAAATCGACTCTTCTATGTGGAGAAAAATTTTTAAAGACAACAAAAAATATTTAAAAAATTCGACGAGTATAAAAAGTAAAAAATACTAAAAAGAAATAACTTAACGAATAGAAAATGATGACTCATTCAATCAACTTTACACCACATCCTAGCATGTATCAAACAATCAAAAGTGTGTACAAATTACACATTAACGTGTCAAATTTTCATTTAAAAAAAAAATTACATCTCAAAAATAATTTTTATCAAGGTTTTTGATCAGAGCTGCAATTACATGTAGGAGGTAAAAATTCATACAAATTCCGCAAATTCCGAGGTCATGCTACACAGCCCAATGGCGCACACACGACCCATATAATTCTGAATGATGAGAATTATACCTGACACCTAATTAGTTAAACTTACACCCCACATTACTAATAATACTTTTGCCATAATACCTAATTTTATTATTGGATTTTAAAAGAAGTAAGCATAAATTATATAATATTATACCATATTTTTGAAAATTTCAGTATAAAGTTTATATCAAATTTTTTTAAAAACCAGTATAAAATTATAATTTATCTTTAAAATCTATGAGTTTATATTGAATATTTGATAAAATTGATATAAAGTCATATTTTTTAAACCGTATTTTTCAAATATCCGATATAAAATAATAGATCTTAAAATAAATTATAATTTTACATCAATTTTTTAAAAATGCGAAAAACGACAGTATATACCATATTTGTCAAAGAATTTGGTAGCATTAACTTTGTTTTTTAGATAATTACTAAAAAATTAACCTTTTGATTTTTTTCAAAAAATTCGGTGCACCCATATATTTTATACTATTTTTTAAAATATTCAATATAAATCAAATATTTTTTTCAAAAGTATCATTTTACGCTAGATATTTGAAAAATACGATATAAAATCACAATTTTAATAAAATTTATGATTTTACCCTAGATTTTTTTAAAAATATCAGTAAAAATGCATAATGAAATGTTTCGTATGATCTATCGGATTTTTTTTCGCTTGGGAGAAAGTTCTACAACATGTAACTAATATAAAAAAAATAAAATAGATATTTGATATTTCAAAAATAAGTTAGGATTATGTATAATTTTGGGGGTGACGAGTAGAATAACTATTAGTAAATTAGCTTTTAATAAATGGAAAATTAAGGTCACACTCTAGCCATCAAAACTTGACATCCTATTAATAAAATTTTAAAAATTGGTAAATCTGATACAAAATAAAATTAATTACCGATTTAACAACTGTTTTTGTGACTGCATATTTTGTCTAAAAAAAGGTTTATATATAAAAGTTAACTTATAAAAAAAACTAAGCAATTGATATTCCAATCACTAATAATTTTTATTTTTTTTTCTCTATTTTTCTATATTATATCCCTCCCAATTTTTAATTTTTAGTAAAAAGTATAAAATTTTATTGTTTTAATATATATATATATATATATATATATATATATATATATATATATATATATATATATATATATATATATATATATATATATATATATATATATATATATATATATATATATATATATATATATATATATATATATATATATATATATATATATATATATATATATATATATGATCTCACCTGATCAGAAGAAGTCACTGACCGACCACACGTTTGAGTTGTCTGACTGCCGGGAGAATAGACAGGATGTACCTGAAACACACTCTGATGTCAAAGTAAGAGTTGGGCAGAGTGATAACAAGTACAGAAAGAGAGTCAGAATGAGATTACCTGACCCTCTAGTGAAAGAGGGTATTTATAGTGTGCCCCCAGCGCAGGGCCAACGGTTACTTCGCTTTGGGCTGGGCTGCCAGGCCCAATGCTGGTAACTGCTAGGGTTGACGTGGCGTCAGGAAGACCAGCACGTGGTCTTTGCCCTAGTGTAACTGTGTCGTGTTATCTGGGAGGTGGAAGACCGAATAATCAGGGTATAGGTAGTTACCTAATGACGTGTCTCCACGTAGGGGACACGTTGAGAACGTGGGGAGGTCAGAGGGTCCCCCGAGCTGGATAGGGTCTGCCCGACGGATGGACAGAAGGGAGAGCGTGCCTGGCAGATGTGAGGTGCCTGCTCGACTACCAAGAGGTTGTTTGTGCCCGACGGGAGAAATGGTTCTACCCGACGAGATAAAGGGCTTTGTCCGACGGGGTGGCGGTTTAGGTCTTATTGGGCCTTCCAACCCGATGTGGGGTTGGGCCTGCTCGATTGTGGGCCAAGTGTCGGCTCAGTCCAGAATAGTAGCCCCCAAGTCGTTGTTCGTGGTCAAACGAGCTATGACTTAAGGTGCAGAGGTGTCGAGCATGTCGCTTCGTCGGTCTGTCCGCGACTATACTGGTCGGGTGAGCCTACGATGCGCGGGGAGGCCCGCGGACAAGGAGAGGGAACTTGAAGAGACGCAGGGAAAACTGAGAGTCGCCACGTTTCACCCTAGGGAGGCTACGAGCTAGGTACTTAAATGCCTGGTGACACCTCGTTTCTCATGCTAGGGGCGTATATATACGTGGGCTCAGTCCGTCTTTTCGCTCACTTGTCTCCTTGCTGCCGCTCAGTTTTCTGAATTCTCTGCTCGACGTCTGCAACATTTTTGCTCGACGCAACCACTTTTCTCCGCCTTATCACGTAAGTTTCTGCCCCCTCTACTGGTGTTTTAGTAGGTTTCCGGCGGTGTTTCCGACGGCTCAGACGGGCCTGTCGGGGAGGCTGTGGATGTTTTCGGCGAATACGCCGGAAAGTCCTTCAAAATTAGGGTTCTGACCGAACTTCCCCGGCACTTGCGACGAGTGGCCCGGGGAAATGTGATGATTGTTGAATGTCCCAAGGGTGTTTGATGAATACCCCAGACACGATCGATGAGTATCCCGAGGACAAAAGGATGAATTCCCCAGGGACGATGAAAGACCTAGGGTTAAACCAGATTGGTCCTCTGGGCGACCCGGGGCGCGTTGTAGTTCTGCTCGGCTTCGGGCGTCCACGCCCTTTCACTTGTGCGGTGGAAGGGTGGATTTGATTTAGCTTTTAAGTTCACCGAGTTCCTCTGCTTTTCAGGTAAATGGCTGCCACGAAGAAGAAGAAATAACGTGGTATCTGTCAAACGACGAGGGGGGTCTCCAAGACGGGACCACCGTGGAGACTCCGGACAGGCCGACAGAAGAATGGGCTGGGGACGAACCTCGGAACTACATGTCACGCTTTGTTGTCGATGATGCGGATGTCTTCGCTGTAATCGAGGATATAGTGGCTGGGGCTCCTCTCCAGTTTAGGGCATGTCTCCCTCGAGAGCGGGATCGTATTTGTTCTCGCTATGACGAGGGACGATTCCCCATGTATGAGTTCGCGTTTAAGGAGGCGGAGATGCGCCTGCCGTTCACGGATTTTCAACAGGGAGTTTTCGACCATCTGATGTTGGCGCCCTCCCAGCTCTACCCCAACTCTCTTGCCTTCATCTGTGCCTTTGAGATCGTCTGCAACTATCTCGAGCTCGAGGCCACCATTCCACTCTTCTTCTGCGTCTTCCATCTACAATGGCAGACTGTGTCTGGGCGACACTACTGGGTATCCTTGAAGCAGCCGACTAGGCTCTTCCGAGCATACACGGATTCTGTCCGGGGGTTCAAAGACAGGTGGTACATGGTGATGTCAGAGACGGACGGGGCCATCAATACACTGTTCTGACGTGAGTTTACCATGGTGAACGGCAAGCCTGAGGTAGACTTCCATTCCCATTTCCCCTTGGAGTGGATGGAGCTTCATTTCCAATCTAGCACGAAGAGCTTCATCTATCGGCCTAACCATCTGGATGAGGATGATAGTTTGGCCTTCAAGAAATTGGTTGACTTTGTCGAGCGGCTCCCTCCTCGCAAATGCGTGACACCGGACGGGCAGTACATCCGCGATGCCAGCGGGGATATCTGGACTGAGACTAGATGTATTAACACGAAGGCCCTCCTCGAGTGTCGGACCAAGGAAGAGGCTCATCGTTTCTTAGGTAGTGAGCAGCTTCCTCGGATCACTTCGTTTTGTTTCGAGCTCCCATACTGACTTTTCTTTTTTCGTGTTTTATTTGCAGGTGCTATGGGTTCCATGGAAGAACGTGTCATGAAGATGCTCAAAGGAGGTGGTCGACATCTTACGGGGAGGGCCGTTGTTGCTCGAAAGGAGGCTGGTGCTGGACCGGCGGGGTCAACTCTGTCCCCCCAAGGTAGTGGCTCCCTGATTGCCCCGCCGGCCCCAAGAGGAGACGAGAGTCTGAAACGTCCCCAATCGACCTGACGGACAACTCTCCCGACCGTCGTTTCAACCTTCCCCCCTGCTGTCTAAGACCCAACTTTTTTTACTGAGGATAACGTCCCAACCGTGGCTCCCGAGGAAACGAAGACCATCCTGGCTGCGAGCAAGGAGGCCCGGAGGAAGATGTTGTCAGATAACCTGGCCTCGGTGGTGAGGGCGTTTGAGACGGCTCTCGCACTCAACGAGGAGGCTTGTTCCTTAGAAGACTTGGCAACACTGCGGGGTGAGTTTACAGTGTCTAAGGAGGTTAGGTCTAAGTTGGTTGCCGACTAGAAGGAATATCAGAGGCAGGACAAGGCCCAACACGAGCGGATCAAGGAGCTCGAAAAGACGGTGAAGGATGGGGATGAT